AAGTTTAAGTTGTGGTCAGGGCCAGCCAAGCTCAGCCGGGCAGCGCTGGGGCCGCGTCACCCGCTCCTGGGGCCACACTGGTCAGGGCCAGTGCCAGAGAGAGAGAAGCATGCCCTGCACCCCACCTTAAATACATGAATTCGCAGGGGCACTGATTGGCTTGGCCCTGGTCAGAGGCGGGTCTGACAAAGGCAAAGGGGAGCTTTTCAGGTAGCTTCTGAAAGGGTCATCTCTATAGCCCTTCCCCGTTACCAAAGACACAACCAAAAACCCCTCACAGAAAACCCAATACATTGTCTTATGACTTAAATGTTTACATACACTATATAAGCATGAGATATAATAACGTTGTCTTATCTTTATGGCTATGAAACTCTGAGATTTCATTGTAGCTAACAAGTGCACCATGGCTGTCAGATACAAGTGTTGGACCAGCCAGACTAATACTAATTTCTAAATAAGAATTTTTTAATTTTAAGTGTCTAAACAATATTGTTAAATAAATATTCTGCAACTATGTGCTTGCAAAAAAAAAAACTGTTATAAAATAGGTAAGCACAGAGATGACAGGTTATTTCAAGGGCAGAGGGAGGTGCACAAGAAGATATGAGGTTACATAAAGGTCTTTCATGTTGAGATGGTGGAAGCAGAGCTTATGAAGGAGACCTATTAGGAGAATAATGAGGGCTAATTTGAATCGGCCTCAATCAGGAGGTGTTAGAATACTTGCTGGATAGGGTTTTTAGGTTTTGAGTTCCAACAATTCAAATCTAAAAGAACTCAAATTTTAAAGGACGAAGAAGAAAAAGTAAGATTCATCTTGCAGATGTTCATTAAACGCTCTTGTGAGAGTCTGTCAGTTTGTCAAATTTGCATACTTCATATTTGAGAACATTTGCTTGTAATCATAGTAATTGAACCTGGATTTGAAAGTTTGTACATATACAGGTAATTTCATCTGCAGCTTCCTTCAGTGCTAATCCAGCACAGTCAAGCATGCTTCTAGTCTGTGATGCAAACATGATGTGTTTTACAGTAGCAATATCCGTATTTTCTTTTGAGTTAATCCATAGAAATCTTTAAGTCTCTGAGAAACAAATACGTTGCATAACAAGAAATGCAGCTTCCAAAAGAAATGGTCATCTTACTGCAGTGTTTAGCTAATTTATAACACATAGCAGAATGCAAGCACTGAACAAGCTTTGTAGACAATGGTAGGTTAAAGCCTTGAAGGTTTGCTGGATAGGGTTGTATTCACTGTAGTTTTGTATGTGGCGGTTCTTCCAGCTAAACTGGCACCTGAAATCTTCCTCCACCTGGAGCATCAGTTTTATATGGTTTTGCCATAGAGTTCTTTACTTCCCAGCAATTGCTTAAAAATGATAAAGCACTTTCTCCTCCCTCAATCCAAATAAAAGGGGGGATAGGAAACAAGTTTTGAATTTCCAAACTGTTTTGTGACTAGAACAATTAGTTCCTTGAGAGGAAGATTTGGCCTCCAGAGCTGCTGGTTCAGAATAGGTTTTTAATGTAACTTTTGTAATGTTCCTGTTTATTCACTTTTGTTTATTCTGCAATAGTTGCACGGTTGTGGGAAATCTGCTACACTGAAATGAAAGCATGTCTTTGTTTAACTTGAAAAGCAAGATAAATAAATTGATTTTTTTTTTCAGAGCTTGAAGGATTGTTTTTCTGTTGCATAATTAACATTGACTAAAATATTTTATATTTTCTTGTCTTCCCATAGTTGCTAGATATGAGAAACCAGTTTTGTAGCATAGACATAAGGTAATTGTACAAACCGAATTGGAAAGCTTCAAAAAGTTGTGTACATAATGCACATTTGTATTTGCAAAATTTTGTCGGTCAGAAGCCAAACTTGTAATCAAAATATGTTTTCTTGTTTAATTTGCTCTGAAGTGTCAGAAATGGAAGAAACGATGTTATCAGTGCTAAGGCCATCGCAGAAAACAGCCGACAGTGTGATTTCGTCTCCCACACCTTCAGCTCGCCTTCCCCTCGACCCCTCAGAGCTGCCTCCAGATAAGCTCCATGTGGAACTGGAACTATCCCCAGATTCCCAGATAACCCTGTATGGGCCCCTGCTCAAAGCCTTTCTGTCTATAAAGGTAGGCATAGGAACACCACTCGTAACACTTATGGATGGCCATATGTAGGAAAGGGAAATAATTAATTTGAAACAGAAAATTAGAATGCCCCAGAATCTCTGCATTTAGATGAAAACTTTATATAAGTGCTAATTTGGAATAACTTTACTTTGTGATCTTTTCATGGCATAGCTGCATGAATTGAGTTGGCACATGAGAAGACTTCCTATACACACACACATATATATGTACATATATATATATGTATGTAGTCCCATATAAGCATCACTTTCCTTTCAAGAAATACTATATGTTCTAGACTTCATGTGCAGAAAAATTCTTCTTTAACTTTTGCAGTAGTTAAAAAAAACCTAAAAAAAATAATCCATGATTCTGACTACAGCTTATATTAACAGCTGCTTTTATGCGAAGATACGTCACAACTCATGCCTTCTAGTGCATGTTAAATTCTATCAGTGTCATACTTGTTTGCTTGGTTTTATTTTAATTAGATTCTGTGAAATTTCTGGAGTTAGGATCATGGAGAGGAGCGAGAAAGAACATGAGAATTTCATTAAAAAGCTACCTCAATCAATATGGAAGAACAATCATTCTTTTCTTGATGTTAAGCTGTTATGCTTTATAAAGTGTTTGTTTGTGTTGCTTATCTTGTGTCATCTTCCATTACTGATCTTCAGGGTATCTAGAAACAGTTTAATTTCTTCCCACCTCCCTCAACCTGCTTTGTTGTGACAAAAGCAGAGGCGATTGCACTCGTCACTTCCACTTGACTAACAGTGAAATACCTGGGTTTTGGTTGGTTTTTAGTGGTTGGTTTTTGTTCGTTTGTTTTAAAGGTCTGTTATAGCCTATGCAGATCTAGGCTAAGTTAATGCTTCAGGAGGCTTTCATTTTGGGTCAGAGGACAAGAAATTTTCTGAGACAGGTGATCTGTATTAGCACTCATACTGAAATAGTCATTTTTAAGAATTAATAAAAGGCATTGCGCAGACACAATGTAATGTAATATGCTAAGTTTTTGGAGAGTGTGGGACTTGCAAATATGATCATTATTTTTTTTGATGTTCCCACTAAAAAAAAAAGGATTAAAATTAGTCTGGTATTGCATCTTGAAGACGTAATTTCTTCTGATACAGAGGAAGTGCACCAATATTTGAATTGCTTATTGAGCTCCTCTTTTGGAGCCCATAAATTCATTATATGGTTCTGTCTTTCTAAGTAAAGAAGCACTTCTTCAGTGCTGTTTGCCTCTGGAGGTTATATGTAAACAGGGTTATATGAGATTCCTTGATTTTACGATGATTTAATTTTTTTATGTGCAGATTTCTGAGATTAAGTCTAGCTTTTCTAAACCTCAAGAGAAAATTTCGATTAATAGCTTGTTTTTGAAAATGCACATTTGTTGTTCTTTGTAGTATTTTTATGACTATGTTTACATCTTTTTGTCCAGCTGTGCTGGCAGCATCTCTTAATAGATTTCTAGGGGTTTTTTAATGTTTGTTTTCCTGGCTTGTGGTCGAGTTGCTGTTTTCAGTTTGTTTTCATTGATCTTTTTTTAATACACGTGGGAATGATTCCTGGACATGCATCGTTCATGCAGTTTTGTTAAGTTTTCTATTATTGGGAGATAGTTTTTTGAGGTAGCACACTGTGTTTCTTACTGAAGGGCTTACTGGCTCGTAATGAATGATTTCTAGGTCCTTGCATCCTCAGCAGGAGGTACCAGGAGTAACTTACTGGAGTTCCTAGCACCCTCTGCTGGGTCTGCCTTATACAAAATATTTCATGGTCAGTAACATAGACCTTTATCCTTTCCCTTTGTTAAAAAGCAGAGGAGATTTGCTTTGCGTAACTTTTGAGGTTTTTTTGGCCACAGAGCAGTGCTTAGTTCATAGGTATTACCACAAAAACCACTGTGGAGATTCAGTACGCTGTTAAAATTACATGTCCATGGGAGCAATCATTTCAAGGCCAATAATGTGCCTGCTTTTCCTACAGACCTTTCTCAAGGACGTGGGTACCTTGCAGTTGCTTTATTTCTTTGTGTCATAAACTTCCTCTTTGCTTGCTTGCTTGCACTGCAGACTTCTGCTTAGAAAAGAACAAAGAAGTTTTGGAAAGCATATGAGGCACGGAGGAGAGGAGCTAGAAACACCATAAAATTCAGATCTGTTTCAGTTTGATTTTCAGTCTAGTGCTCGTTTGTCCACATTTCACAAGTCACCGGCAGAGTTTTTAGCAGTTGGAATACTTCTGTTGAGAGGCTGTGGGACTGAATTGCTTCCTAAGGACGAATGAGGGAGCAGTCTTTGTGTGGGTTGTAACCTCTTTGGTCAGAAAGGATTTTGTTCCAAAGAATGCTTAATCCCCAACACTGCCCACATAAGGGATTCATAAGAAAATATAACCTGCATAATTCAGAAAATTCTTGTTGACAGACTTAGTTTGTTCATGAATTTTACTTTCATATGTGTCTAACCTTTTATTTTGGGGGTGATATTGTAAAAAATCTGATTCTGATGCATGTGATAAATAAAACACAGAAAGTTGGGCTTTTTTTAAATTACTGATAGATTTTCTGCTTCCTAGAAGAATTTGGCAAAGTTAATTCGGTCTTAAATAACTGAGGGGGATTGGCTTAGAGACAAACTGGGTTTTAGACCCAGAGGGAAAATGTTTATGAACTAATATTTTAGAAGCATAATTAACCATGTGAAATCTGCTGATAACAAATTTCAGAAGATTGGATGAGAGTGACTTGCTGTAGGATGTCTTTTGTGGTGTTACTCTCCAAGTTATCTGTCTTTAAAAGCATAAGATCTGTTTTAAAAAATGTCAAGAATACTACTTCAGAATAATTACTTATATTGCATGTACCTATGTTATCTATATTGCTAATTAAGATAGATACATGCATGTATCTAGAATACCAGTACTTTCAAAACTACTGAGAGCTCCCTCTTTTCATGCAAGGCACAAGGCCTAAATTTGCTCACTTAAGGTATATCTCTCTCATAATGTAAAACTATATGCTTTTCTTCCTCTGTAGGTTGTAGCTATACTGCTTATTTTAGGGAGGACAGACGTACAAGGAAAGGTTGGATTTGTGTTTCATTACATTCCATGTATTGCTTTACATATGGTCATAGCAAATAATTCCTTTTGCCAGGAAAATTATTTTGGAGAAGATGATATGTACACTGATTTTGAAGAAGTTATTTCAAGCCCTGTGTTGTCACTGTCAACATCTTCAAGCTCTGGATGGACAGCTGTTGGGGTAGAAAATGACAGAAAGGAAAATGAAAGTTCAGTCAAGCCAGTTCACCCTCTTACTTTACGTCCGTGGGATATCACTGTGCTTGTTAACTTGTACAAAGTGCATGGGCGATTACCAGTGGTAAGTACTTCAGAATCTTAACATAGTTTGCTTCACGTGTGTTTGTTAGGGTTGTTTGGGAGTTTTTTTCTTGCCTTCCCCCCGCCCCCGCCAGTTTCATAATCTGGAGTTAAATTTAACTGCCTGGAACATTAAATTAGGGTGGTGCTTACCTAAGTGTGTATATACTCTACTGAAATTGTGGCTAGCTAAATCAATTTGAGACACAATTTATTTTGCTTATCTGGGAGACAGAACTGAATAATTTTTTATAAGATTTTATTCAATGAGCTTGATTTGTGTGGTACTGTTTTTGATTGACCATTATGATTTCTGTGCTAATTAGCAAAACTGTCTTCTGATGGTGCATTCTGCTCTGTGCAGCTGCATTCTGAGGGATCCCCAGGATTTCAAATAAGAATCCAGATAAGAAATTGGGTCCACCCCAGTGGGTTTGGATTGCTGTTATGTAACTCAAAAGGTTTTTGAAGTTGCATAGACTTCTTTTTGTGTATCCACTTGAGGGAAAGTTAGCATACTTACTGCTCACAGGTTTGCTTCTAATCCTACAGTTTCAAGCATGTTGTGTGTTTTCAGTTTGTGAAATGGATGTGTTTATTTTTTATTTTAGCATTGCAGTCCAGATGGTCCCGAGTGCCCTACAGCCTTCTTGGAAAGGTTGTGTTTTGAGATGAAGAAGGGATTTAGAGAAACAATGCTTCAGCTGGTACTGTCTCCAGTGAATTTGTTTTTGAATGACAACTATCAGGTAGTAAGCTGGTTCTTGTGTGTTTGCACGTGTATTTGTATTGTGAAAGTCGTGATGATCTTAAAATTGAATTAGTTTTTTATAGCAACTTTCCTGTTGTACACATACATTCGGGTAGATGAAGTACTTAAGGATATGGTTTAGGGGGTAGACAGGAACGGTTGGACATGATGATCTCAGAGGTCTTTTCCAACCGAGTGATTCTGTGTGTGAGATACAAAGTTTATTAGCATTCATGAATCACAAGAGATATTTAAGAAAATTCTGATGCATATTTTTTAGAAGTCTTTATTTCTTTCCAGTTTGCATTTTGATGCATAAAAAGAAAAGATTGTATTTTCTTAATTTTGCTAAAAATCCTTCTGGAGAAGGTTCTTTAGGAAACAGAGTAATATTCAGACTGCTCTTGGAACCACTGATTGATCTCTGGTTTGTGAGGGGTTTTGTTTGTTGGATTTTTTTGGCTTAAGAATTTGGTTTTAAAAGATACTGTAAATACTGACGTGAATTTTGTGCGTCTGTCACATTCTTTATGATTTTTATTAGACTAAATCACACAGCTGGATCTGTATCTTATGGTCAAGATACTGTTAAGACAGTCTTCCTCTGGTGGGGAGGAAGTTACCCAAACTTCACAAAGTACTTAATGAGACAAAGTTCAATGTTGTCTGTGGCTTGTCAGCCAGCCGTATACTACTTAGATTTTTAGTAAACTTACCCATATGGGTGAATTTAGCTTACTGAGGACTTTAGACTGAAATTTGGTAACACAAGAAGTTATCCAAATTCAGTGCAGGCTAGTGAATAGTTGAGAGTTTGTATTTTATTTATGCATGCATTAATTGCATTAAAAGCTTTATAATACTTAGACAATGCCTTACCAAATATATTGTTTTCAATCCCTGTGTCCTGAAATACATTGCTGCCAATGACCTGGGTGAAATAAAATTTAAATTATTTTTATCTTATGCACATTTCAGTGCTTGAAAACTGGAATACTGTATGCAGATGAAGATGCATGTCACTCTATTTTTTCTACTTTTATGTCAATAAGCTAATGAAAAGAGTCGTTTGATGCTTTTTTAATCTTTCCAAATTTAGATCTGGTTTGCCACAGGCACAAAAGTACCTTAGGTATAATCACTGACTATAGACTGACTAAAAGATAAAGGAATTGGAAGAAGTAATGAACTTCGATGGCAAAAAGTTAAATGACATATTAGGAGATTCAGCGTTAGCCCTTACTTATTTTGAGATGTTACTCTGTTGATCTCTGATTAGTAAAGAAAAAATCCTCAACGAGAGCATAGAATCTAAACATCTTGCTTTTTGGTTGCACCACTGCAATTATCTTTAGCAGCAACCTGAAGAAAGCAATGATATGAAGTTGCAGGAATTGTAGATGCATAATCTATATGGGATTAATAGAGATGTTTTTTAAAACCACTGCAGAAATTGGGTATAATAATAGCATGGTAGCAGCCAAAATTTCTTTTTCCTCATAGCTTTTGTCAGCTAAGTGTACAGATTGTAGAGGTTGCTTTTTCAATTGAATGAAGTTGTCAGAAGGTGCAGCTGAAGCTGATGAGAATTACAGCTTGGACACATGACCCTTATGTAATGAAAAATTGGGGATTTTTTTGCTTATCCTATGAGGAATTCAAGCAATTGAATAGCTGCGTATTTAAGAACAAAATCTGTTTTGTGCACTGAATGAGACCCTTAAAGTTTGTTCAAACTTGTAACTTAGTTATTGTATTGCAATTCCTATGTACAAGGAAGCAGAAATGAGGTTGCAGGCATAACGTTTTTTTGGTATTTCGGGGTTTTTTATGATTTAATTTCACAGTCCTGAGACTTTCAGCATCTGGGGTTATTCTTCATTAGTTATAAATGGTTTTGGTTTTTTGTCATTCTATCTCGGACTTCTGAAGATGAGGCAGGAGTGTTGAATAAAAAAGACAGAATTATTTTAATTAAGTAAATGCAAAATCAGTTTCTAGCTACAAATGAGGGAGAATGAAGAATGGAGTTGGTTGCAGCTCAGGATGTACAGCGGTGCTGTCCACCAGCCAGTGCACTGTGTTGCACCAGACTGATCGTGGCTACAACGCATCTCAGCTTGCAGCTTATTTCTTTGCGTTTTGTTCCTGCTACGGCCTCGGGTTGGAGTGTTCAGCTGATAGCATGGGAGGGACGTTTACGGAACTGCTCTTTCATCAACAAATTTGCTGCTGTTGATGTACTTCCTCAGTTTTTCCTTCTGCTTCTTCTCATTCCCTTCATAGTTCCTCCTCATAATTTTTCATACTGAGCTGAGAGCTGTCTTGTTTTGCTTCCCATTCATGCTGTTCTTTGTAGATGCTTTTGAGGAAAGTCAGAAATTGAGCATAAGCAGGGATGAGCGTTTGCCTTAATTGAAGTTACATTTACAGTGTGAAATGTGTAAGTGACTGGCAGTGTAAAATGTAATGATAATAGAAGATTTACATGAATTACTGCATGACTGTAAGCAGTAAGAATACTGAAAAAACTTAGTAATGCTATGGTTACATATTTTGCCTTAAGGTTTATATGTTCTTTTTAGTTGGATTTATTTTAATTCAGAAACATTAACTCAGACTAATAAAACTTCTGCCTGGGGATTTCTGTTGGTTGGAATGATAAATACACAGGGTGGCATGTTTTTAAAAATATTATGTACAAGTTTTGATCAGTTACCTGTTTTACTGTTACCTAGTGCTTGACTGTATTAATTCTTGCCACTTAATGTTGGAAACATTCATATTTTGGTGGGGTTTTGTTGTTTGGTTTGTTATTTTTTTCTTAAAATTTGGGCCCCTTATTGGTATTGTGTATCTCAAAAATGCTGTTTTCAGTTCAACCATGAAGTGTGAAGTTTATACTTCTAATGTATGTAGAACAGGAATTGTCCTTCTGCCTACCTGGGCAAGTATCATTTCTTCATGTTTCCCATTCCATTTGTTTTATCTTTATATTTAGTTTTTTTGTTGCTGGTGATATCAAAAGAGCAGGGCATGTTTCTTCTTTATTAAGCAACTCCAAAGGGTTTGCTGACAGTGGAAAAGAAGCCAGGCGCAATAACAAGTTGAAAAAAAAAGAATGAAAGGGAAGTTTTGCTCTTGACTTACTGGCTTTAATCCACAGTTTACCTCCATGCAATCACAAGCTTCTAGTGTTTGCCTGTGCTGGTTTATCTTTTCAATTTCGTCTCTAGCTGGTGGAGTAGTATTCTTTTGAGAAGTACTACATCTGAATTTTCATATCTGCAAGCAAGTAGCTTTGTTTTACGTAGTGAAGAAAGACTTTGGTAGAAAATGCATCCTAGAGGACAGCTTCAGATTTTTTAAAAATTTTTATTTTGGTAATTTATTTTAAATTATTTCTACAATGTGTTAGCTTTAGCATCAAACCTTCGTAAGTCATACTTTTTAACCTCTTGATCCCTTCCATTGTTAAACACACTCTTCCATTCTTTGTTTATATTTTATTGCAGTGATATTTAACAGGTGTGGTCTAGATGTCACTGTATGAAGTTCACCAAGGGAAGAATGTTGATGCCAGTTGCTAAATATTAAAAGAAGCTTGGGTTAGATAAACTTCCTCCCCCATAAGATTTGCATATATGATGATGTTGTGTGGGTAATGCTGAGAAGTCTTGGGACTGTCTGGATGTACCAAAGTCAACAGAATTTAAGAGATGAAGATGAATGTGTATGAAGTATCTCTGGCTTAAAAAGCTTTTGCACTTTCTGTTGCTGTATTCTTTGCAAATACTAGCTTTAACTTCCTTGTCCTTACAGCGACCTGCAGTGGATGAAGTTCTTCGAGAGGGTCACATCAGCCTGTCAGGTCTGCAGCTGCGCGCCCACGCGATGTTTTCAGCAGAAGGTCTGCCTCTTGGGAGTGATACTTTAGAATACGCATGGCTGATAGATGTACAGGCTGGAAGTCTTACAGCCAAAGTTACGGCACCACAGGTACCATCCTGAAGCTCTTCGCTTTGAAGTATTGCTTTTCCTGTCTCTTGTAAAACTGGCATAGCATGGATCTTGGGAAGCACATGGTCTCAGCTGAATTTGGATGCATCTGTGCCCTAAGTAATCTTAATTTTATAGTTAGAAAATCTAACCATTTCTGTAAATTGACAGGAGATTCCAAATGAACTGAATCTGATATTAATCTTAAATCTACGTGTAACTGAGTGGCTAGTGTCGTATGAGAATTTGAAAGGATGATGGTGACAGCACGAGCCGTTCAGGAGTGAATACTGTCACTACATTTAAACATATGTACGTTGCATCTATGTATGTTAATGTACTTTAATACTGATTAGAAAGGCAACCACAGTATCTGCATGAGCTTTAAGTGGTTTAATAGCAGAGTGAATAATAACGTCTCTCTAAATAGAGAAGTGAAACTGCCAGCAATAAGAAGGTTATCAAGTTAAGCATCTGGCAAGAATTTAGCTTGTAGATAAAGTTCTGCCTTTCCATTGAAAGCTGCTGACCAAGCCATGTTTTAACGTGGGAGACAAATGAGAAAATTTGTGGGAGTGTAGTATGAGCAAGCCCCCCAGCAGGAGAGTAGTTGGTAGCTCAGTCATGCTTCTCACTACATAAATTCTCTTGCTTGGTCCCACTGGAACATAGTTTGCCTTCACAGTGTTGGATTTTCTTAGGTCAGTCTTAGCCCTAACTCCTTTTATTTTTGCCCTTTATGTTGCGTTTGTTTTCCTGCATATAATAATGGCTCCAAGTATACAATGGGCAAATAGTTTTGATTTATTTCTGTTGTGGGCTGCCAGATCCTTAAAAAAAATTGCTTTGTCAGTGGACTCTGAGACATGAAGAAGTACATAAATTCTATTTAGTAGTTACACTTTGGTTTATTTATTTAATTTTTTTACTTTTTAAAAGACACTTCTACATCCTTTTATTCCTCTGAAAACTGGCATTATTTTCTAGGCTTAATCGCTTATTTCATTAGGAGACTTCTCAATGGTGTGCTTCATACAGGATTTTAAATTTATTTTATTTTTTGTTGCCAGCACTGCTATGGGGCAGAACTTGAATTTGTTGATTCAGGGTTGTTGTGGTTTATACAGTTGCTCTGTCGCCAGATGACTCCTCCCCACCTGGGAAGGGGAGTCAGGACAAGGAAAGAAGATCTGTGGGTTAAAATAGAAATAGATTTAATAAAATAATAAAAACTAGTATTAATAACAGTATAAATATAGAGTTACTCAATATTGTGGGGGAGTAGACCTCAGGGATAGAACAGTAAACAAGTCCCTCTTGAGATGACAGCTGTGGAAGAAGAAAGAGAAAAGAAGGGCTGTCCCCAGCAAACTCCCCAGTTTCATATATAACGAATGTGTCATTCATTTATAGTGAATGTGATGTTTATGGTATGGAATAAAACTGACTGGTCGGCCTGGGGTCAGCTATTCTGGGGTGCCACTTCCCCCAGCCTCTGCACCTGTTTATCTCAAGACTGCTGAAGACTTTGAGCATCACGTACCAGCTTTAGCTGAAACCTGTAACCAAGTCTTGCCACTTTGTTCCTATGAAATAGGAGTGTTGTAGTCCTTACAGAATTGCAGAAAGCAGAAGTTTTCCTGAACAGAAAACTGTCTTTAAAATTCTGTCTGCGTAAACCAGGACAAGGGTCATTGGCTTTTTTCCTCCCATAATATGATGCATGGGAAGAACTTGTTAAGGGTCAGGTCAACACTAAAGGGAGGAAGAAAAATTTTGTGCAGGACAGTCATAGCTATATTAAATTCCAGTTAAATTACTGCTGATTTTAAGTGCCCTTTCCTTTAGCTAGCCAAAGAAAACCCATTTCCCTCTCATAATAGAGACAGACAGTCATGAATCATTTCCTTTATGAAAGAACTAACTATATAAAAGATTTAAATCAACAATAGGATAATTATTAGGTCCAGTGAGATTCAGCAGTGTTCTGTTTAGCCAGTTTCCTCATATGCTTTCTAAATGTAACTTTGTTACTCAAGTAGGAGGAAGTCTGACATTTAAATTATGAATAGTGATAGAGTATTTCGAGGTATTTTTTGAGGTAAAATACGGAGAGCTCTGTCTTTACAATTAGGTTCTCAGCTGTCCATAATAGCAAAAGCTGTTTCCTTATATTAAAAAATAATTTAGGAAATTGTTTAATGTCCCAGTATTATCCATGAAAAACTACAGAGACTTGCGTGTTGTGGCACACAGAAATAAAGATCAGTCTTGAACAACAGGAAATAGTCTGTCTGTAAGCAAGGTGATGCAGCTGGAACGTTATGGTGGGGTCTTTTGTTTGGTTTTACTCCTGCTCACCTCCCAGCCTGTGGTGATGTCCTTTCAGTACTCTGTTGAACAGTGAAAGCTCATTTTGCTTACTATTAGACAAGGTGCTGTTATTTGCTTACAGCTTGCGTGTCTTCTGGAATGGGGGCAGACTTTTGTATTCCATGTGGTGTGCCGGGAGTTTGAACTGGAAAGGCCAAAATCTGTAATGATATGCCAGCATGGAATTGATCGTCGGTTTTGTGACTCTAAGGTAACCTTTCATCTGTTTTAATTGCTTACTATATTGCATAGGTTCTTCGGAACACTTCAGAAATCCAGTATTAAAGTTGTCAAGCCACATGGAGTGTATAGGTGGATTGGATGTTCCCTTTGATAATTTATAGCTAATTATGTTTTAGAAATAAAAGTGATTCTCTCTGGATTTTCCGTGGATGTGCACAATGTTTTTTACTCTATGAATTGTTTTTGAGAAACACTATCCACAGGAGTCATGCCTAGTTTCTTACCTCTGCTACGATAGTTAAGAGCCAGAGGGCATGGTCCACTGCCCTTCAAGAGACAAAGGTCGTACTTCCCCATGTACCTCTGGCACGTTTCCATGGTACTTTTTCATCCCATGTCCTTCCTGTGTTGATGAAACAGTGCTTTGATGGGGGACTTAAGCTGACAATTTACATCTTCCATGGATGATGCTTTTTTTTTTTCTTTTTTAAACATGGGACTTTTACTTGATCCTTGTGTCAGTGTGGATTCTGCTTTTGGTGCTTGTCTCATGGAATCCATGAGCTCAGTCACTTGAAGACCAAAGGATATTTGCCGTACATTAATGGCAATCATTAATATGATTCCTGGATATAATCTCTCAATATCCTCCTTGTTTTATTACCGTTTTTGTGATGCTTTCTATTAGGAGACTTGATTTGCCTCTTGCTGGTGAAAGCCAGGAGAGCCAACTGGGTTCCTTGATGTTGCTGGACATTAAACATGCAGTAGTGAAAATGAACCTCAACACAGAAATACCACATCTCATGCTTATGTTAATAGTATAGAATAAGTAACTTTTTATTGCTCTAGTTTTAGTCCTCTGTTAAACAGAACATAAGTAAAAGGATAAGCACAAATTCAGCTAAAACTCTTAATGTATGTTTAAGTCTTTTTTTTTTTTTTCCCCATTTTCCTTCAGATGAACTGCGTTCCTGGGCCATGCCCAACATCTGATGACTTGAAGTACACTATGACACGCTTAGCCATGGATGGAGGAGATCTGTATGTAGTAGAACATGGCTGTGCCACCAATATAAAGGTATATTTCTTTTTAAAGCAATCAAAATATTTATTTGTCAATAGAGTTATTTGTATTTTTCTGATAGAATAGCTACCTGAATTTATTGCTTACATACAGTGGACTAAGCAGAATTTCCGAAACTTTTATCACTTTCTGAAAGGTATAAAAGGTTGGCTTGAACTGGGCGAGGAGTAGGTCAATTTGGCTGCTGCATAGTAATTCCATTAATGATCTTGGAAGTTGGTAAGGAGGACTGGATGTTTGCCAAAATAGGAGTGGAAGCTGCAGGACTGATGTAAAAAATAGTAAAAAAATAACAAACCAAATCTAGGCAATATAAATATTAATGGCTGTACCTGAGAGCTAGTCAGAACCTGTGCTATAAATTAGTAACTCAGCAACTGGAAACAATTGAGGTGGACTGCATAGAAGTCAACGCTTGATAACTCATAATCATCTTATGTAATAAAGCTGTTTGAATAAAGATGATATATCTTTGGTAGAGATGAGAGAAGTGTTAGTGCCACTGCCTGACTGAATCTATAATACTTTATTGTGTATCTTCTGTTGAAAAAAGAATATGCAGAGAAGAGCTCATATTCTCTCCATTATCCTATCTTACAAGAGAAAACTAGAATAATTTACTCAATGTAGCAAAATATAAGTTAAGAGACGATTGAGTTATGATAATAACAGAAAAGGAGAAAAATGTTATGCTGGTATATGTTGACTAGTAGTTGTGCTGTCCATTTATAAGTGTGATTTTAAAAGGTAGGCTTAACATGTAAGGTTTTGGGGACAGCTTCACACTGTAAGAAAGAATCTAACTGAAGGAGAGTGGCAGTTGTTTTAGACATTTTTTTAATTACGTGGTGTCTTGACATTTGAATGGCTTGCTACCTCATGGCAGTAAAAAAATGCCTTTGAGTCTCCAAATTCTTTTGAGTCCAATATTAAAAAAGCACCAGCACAAATATTAACTGTGTTTGCAGACATAAATATGAATGGCAATGTTTTCAAAGGCAGCTTAATAACCTGAGCCACTCCAGAAAATGATGTTGTGAATGTGTTTCATTTGAATTTAATAAATAAAAGAAAGGTCTCCAGTGCTCCTTTATAGTCTATGACAGAGATGAGAAGTAATAATTTAATATTAACCCTGTGGGTAGCTCTTCTGTGGCCAAGTTCTTTTTTTTAGCTTCCTTTCTTTTCCCTGTGAAAAGTTTGGAATCTCGATCTGAAATGTCAGGTACTTCATGGTGCCTTGTTGGAGAGGACTCAAGCTATGCAGGAAACTTTGTCCAATGTCTTCAGATGATGTGAAGTTTGAAGACTAAGCATTTGTGGCAGGGCTATGTCATCTTTTATTAGTGTCCTCCAGTGATTGATAACCGTGTGGGCAGGTGGGTTAGTTTACAGTCACCAGTTTCCCCAGCTCAGTGTGGGGTTAAAGCAAGAACTTCTGATTCCTCTTTGAAGAGAGTTGCCTTCTGCCAGTATGGTACTTTTCATGGGAGAGGAGCAGCCTCCTGTTTGTTTCAGCAAAACTACTGCAGTTAGGCCAATACAAGACACCGTGTGGTCATATAAGGGCTAGTATAACACAATTCGTTTGGATCTCAGTTGAGGTTTAGAATTTGGAATTTTATGATTTTTGCAGTGTTTAACATGGTGGTCTCACTGAGGTTTTCATTAATTGTAGAGTACATACTTTGAATAAAAAGCTGTATTAATATTTTAGTCAAAGGACATACAATGATATATATCATATCAAATCATGTATCTAAGATTTTGACAGTTTCCAATTTCTTGTTTTTTAGATGCCTTTGATCACTTTACAAAAGGAGATTCCTAAGGAAAGATTTTATTTTTGTTACGTGAAAACCGCCTGAAACTCATTTCTAAGCCTTCTGTGTGCGCGTGCGCATGCTTGCATATAAAACTGATTCTCTGGAGAGAATGGTTTACTGAGATCTCTCTGGAATGTAATATCTGGTGGTGTGTTGACCTAAGGCTACTCCTTCTTTGTTTCACTCATGACTAATCAGAGTTCATGTTTTAAATAATCTTTTCAGATGGGTGCTATACGTATTGCAAACTGCAACCTCCACAACCAGTCTGTTGGAGAAGGTGTTAGTGCTGCTATTCAAGACTTGCAACTGAGACAATATGTTGAGCAGGTGAACAACTGCAGAACCGGTCTTCAGCCAATATTAAGGAGGGCGTATTGGCTGGAAGCTGGCTCTGTCAACTTGGGGCTCATCACTGCTGACATTGCTTTAGCTGCAGATCATCCTTCTAAACATGAAGTGCAAAGACATTTCTTAGAAACGCATGATAACCGAACTAAGAGGTAAGAGATACGATTGGAGGAGATGCATTTGAAGTTAATACATCCATCTAAGGATGGAACTTTTTTTTTTCGTTTGGGGCTTGGTGGTTTGTTGGGTTTTTTTGCTTACGTAGATAACAATTTCTTGTAATTTTTTTTAAGTATATTGAATGCTTAGCTATGGAATTGGTGGTTTTGAATGTGCTTGGACTATACAAAATTGTATGATTTTTGGCAAAACTGACTTTTCCCTCTGCCTCCACTTACTCCCCCAAAATGAAAATCAGGGAGAGGAGGGAATTGAATTTGTCCTTTATTCTCAGGCTGGAAACAGTCCTTAAAGAGTCTTGAGCAAGCTGATGAGCAGCTGTGAACAAGACACCTGGTGTAACTGTGATTTGTGTGTCTCTCCAGAGAGCAATTGCCTCTGGCATAAGCAACATACACCAGCACAGAGTGTGTTTGCAACGCTCACCTCTGTGCTGAGAGAACAGGCTTTACTGTTAGCGTGTATTGTGGCAGGTGGACATAATTTGTGCCTGAGCATGGTTGCCTGAGCACTTCATATACATTTGTGATTTGCTCCTTTCTGGAGCTAACCCTTCATTTTATGGCTGACATCTGTGTTTCTGTTACAAATCTTACTCATTTCATGCCAAGTGAAATAAGAGCTCACATATAAAAGAGGGGTAGCTTTTAATTTTGTTTTCACTACATGTAAAGGTACTAAGGCTGGTCTGGTCATGTTTTTGTTTTGTTTTCTCTTTTTCTGCCTTTGTATAGATTGTGGTTTTTGTGGCCTGATGATACTTTGAGGAATAAGAGAAGCAAGAACAAGTGTGGCTGTCTTGGTGGTTGTCGATTCTTTGGGGGCACGTTAACAGGACTAGATTTTTTCAAACTTGAGGAACTGACACCTTCAAGCAGCTCTGCTTTCTCAAGTACAAGTGCAGAATCTGATATGTTTTATGGACAGTCTTTACTGCAGCCAGGAGAATGGATAATTACAAAGGAGATTCCTAAAATTTTAGATGGTGAGAACGCATTGTACTGTAATTTTACTCTATTTTGCCCAGAAGTATAGTTTCTTAACTGCATGTTAGTATTTATAGTCATTCTGATTAAGGAGTAGTACTTCCTGTGCTCTTGTACAAGAGGTCCTGTAATGGCCTGAGGTGTTCTGAGAGCAGAGAGTAGCCTGATAGCAGTAAGCAAACTTTCATATACTGAATTTTTATATTAATATGCAAGTCCTTTCTGGGTAAGAAGTTTTTTGAGTTGAATCTGTTTTGCTTATATAGGAAGCAGTCTGTCAAGACAATCTGATGGTTTGCTGCTATGACTTTGTTAATTTTTGTTAGTACAATGTGCTGTGACATGTATGCATTGCAGAACTAGGGCTTTTGTTTAGTAAAGATTAATACTGCAGTGGGCAAGGAGGAGACCGGTGCAGCTGTGTCATCAGATGTTCAATTTTTCTTTTCTGATCTTAGGTAAAGCAAATGGTGTAAAACGAAAAGACTGGGATTGCAGATCTATGGGTATAGAAATAGAAAGAAAAGCACAACATCTGAGCCTACAAGTGCCACTGCGCTCCCATAGCTCCTCATCGTCTTCGGAGGAAACGAGCAGTTCTAGTGCTGCACTGCCCTTGCTCGCAGGTGAGAAGGACAGCCCATCATCAACTGCTGAGGATCACCTGGGACAGAAGGAGTTCTTGTCTGGTGCAAAAAGGGAAGATGGCCGTGGAAGGTTAGTACTCTCTGTCCGGGTAGAAGTATGATTTGACTCTTAAACACATTATAACAGAAAAACCCCTTATATTTAGCAGTTTATAAAGTATTGGTTATTTTTTAATGCTACTGCTGAAATGCATTTCTTAATTTGAATGCAAATTTAGATCCCTAATAGGGGGTGATTATTTGATCTGGGTAGAAAATCCAGCTCGTAAGACAACAGCACTTGCTGTTACTATTTGTTTATGCACTGTCTATATGTAGACAAGTGGACTTACAAGTGGCAGAATTTAACATGTAATCACCATTATGAAAATAATTGTTATGCTAATAGAAAGTCATGGAATCACTGAAGCATTTGTCAGCTCCTATAATGTAAAAAGAGAAACAGTAATTATAAAATAAGCAAATGAACCTTTAATGTTTGTTCACAGTGTTGCAGTTGAGGGTGCAGAGGGCAGCCCTGCATCCCCTGGCAACCAGGAAAGGCCTGTTGGGCAGTCTCCCATGAGGTCTCCGCTGAAGCGACAAGCGTCCGTGTGCTCCACACGGCTTGGGAGCACCAAGAGCCTCACGGCAGCCTTCTATGGAGACAAGCAGCCTGTTCCAGTTGGTGTGCAGTTCAGCAGTGATGTGTCTCGCAGTGATGAGAATGTCTTGGACTCCCCAAAGCAGAGGAGGAGCTTTGGTTCTTTTCCATATACTCCATCTGCAGATTCAAACTCATTTCACCAATACCGCTCGATGGATTCCAGTATGTCAATGGCCGATAGTGAAGCTTATTTTTCTGCAGCAGAGGAGTTTGAGCCAATAAGTAGTGATGAAGGTCCAGGAACCTATCCAGGAAGGAAGAAAAGGAAAAAGCAAGCTCAGAAAATTGAATATAGTAGAGGGTCTATTTATCACAGTGTGGAAGGACCTTTGACAAGCACAGTCCATGGAGAAATTAGTCAGGATGTTAAAACATTGCCTATTAAGACTCATCCTTCACAAGCTTCATTTGTTTCAGCTCTGGGAGGAGAAGATGAGCATGTTGAGAACATGTATGTCATGGAATCTGAGAAGACTGTGGAAAGTGAGCAAATAACTTCCCAGCAGCCTGTAATGGCATGTTACCAAAACTACCTTACACAGTTCCAGGTGATCAACTGGTCCGTAAAACATCCAACTAACAAAAGAACTTCAAAATCCTCATTACATCGCCCCTTAGACCTTGACACACCAACAAGTGAAGAAAGTTCATCATCTTTTGAACAACTTTCTGTCCCAACTTTTAAGGTATGGAAGATGCAGGAAGGAGTGGTAGAGAAAAAAATAAGAATTCAAAGCACATTAAAATAGCTTAATATACCTGTTGTATAAATAAAGCTATGAGAAACTTGAATACTCTTTGCTTTTAGTTTAGGAATACCTTGAACTTCCTGCTTCAAATCATGGGATGTGTGGCTGGGAGGTTGTGGAAGAGATGACATTAGAATTCTGTGGATAAGCTGTGTGTTCTGAATTGTCATTATTGCACTTTAAAATGCTGCCTGTCAAATGGTATGCAGCTGAAGGATCCTCATAATGGATAAGCTAGGCTATAAATGCTTTGCTTCAGAGTAAAGTTGAAATTCATAGATTAAGCTAATAATTTTTGTACATGTTTTGGGTTTTTTTTTCCCCCTTTGATGTATGTGATATGAGCATAATTGCTTAAGGAAGAAGCTGAAATGAAATATATGAAAAATAATGGAAATTACTTCATAGAAAATAGGTGTCTAAGGCCTGGAATTTAATTTTTTATCATTTTGCAGCAAAAGCTTTGTATTCATGGAAGCTTTTCATAGATCAGTATTTGAAGTCTTTTTTTTAAATGATTAGTCACTATTTATCTATGTAAAAACTTTGTAATATAATCTCTCAAGTAATTTGAAAAGATAAACCTAGTAGATACTGTATACTATATTGGAGAATCTGCATATGAGGGATTCTTTTAAGAAAAGAAGACTGTAAGGAGAACCTTTATTTGAAGATTCCTCGGGTATGCTTTTCGTATCTAAAAAGAATGTAATAAATTTCTTGTACTTTTATCTTAGATTGTTAAACAGGGTCTCACAGCTAATTCATTACTGGACAGAGGCATGCAGCTCACAGGTTCATCATCTAAGTAAGTTGAATACTGCATACCATCACTAGCATATTTTTTAAAAGTAGGATTTTCCTGATACTCTTGTTAAATAATTTCGCTCTTGCTAGCCCTTACAGAGTTTGACTCATAGCAGTAGTTTTCAGGACAGATCTATTTTAGAACAGGGTATTCTATTGTACAATGTTTGGGTTTGGTCAAAAGAAAAGACACCATGAAAAAATTATTTCACTCATAGGTTTTCAAGATTATGAATTGCAGCTTAGTTTAAATTAATCTGGGAGGTGCTCATGACAGGTGTCCATTGCACTGCAGAAGCTGAGCATGAATCTAGAGAAGGGCCTTGCTCTGGGATCATCTGGGATCTATGCCATAGAAGAAACCTGCCATTTTGTGCATTTTAATAAGAATTAAAATGATACCAGGATGCTTTTGTATTTCTTTTACGAACCTAGCATTAATATTACTAACCTTACATTAATATGTATTTGGCCTGTTTAGTACACCTTATACTCCTTTGGAAAAGAAGTCTGCAGAAAATACAGATGATGAAACAATAACAGAAGAATGGACGTTGGATCACCCAGTCTTCCAGACACGGACAACGGCAATAGTAGAAGTAAAAGGAACGGTCGATGTAGTTCTGACTCCTCTTGTAGCAGAGGCACTGGATAGGTAATTAGTTTTACATTTACTACTGCAGTGTTAATTGATTATGCTAAAAATTGTCTAAAATCAAAGCTGTTTTGTTCAGGAAAGGTTTAGGTAAAAGTATTGAATAACATGACTTTTGAAACAGCAGGGCTTTTTTGTGAATCTAATTCTGCGCTTCCCATGGAGAAGCTAGAATAATGTTATGCTGAACTGGGAAGTGCCCTTTATGTCTCTCAGTGCTTAATTTTTCTCTCTGTAGTGTTAAACTTTATTTATGATGTAATGTCAAAGTGGAAGCTTAAATGATCTGATGTGGGCTTGTTTTCTCTCCCAGGTACATAGAAGCAATGGTGCATTGTGCTAGCTCTCGACATCCAGCGGCGATTGTTGATGATCTGCACTGCAAAGTTCTTCGAGATGCTGTACAGAACAGCAAAACAAGCTTCTCAGAAAATGTAAGAAAGGGTACAAGAAAAATGCACAAAGTTTTGAAAGAATATTGTTTTCTATATTTTACATAGAAAAAGTTATATAACATGTATATGTACAACTTAAACTTTCAGCTGCAATCAGGTCATTAGAAAGTTTATTGCAGAAGGACATAGCAACTCTTATGGGTCTAAACCTACCATATCTGTATGTGCTATAGTCCTTGTTCTAGAAATCATGGTATTGTGCTTTAAATGAAGTCAGAATCTCTTGCTGCTTCAGTGCTAGTGAACTGTCCTCTTACTCTATAGCTTTGCAGCTCTGAGTTTCCATGAGAATAAATTATTAAATGGTAACACTTTTCTCCTCCTTTCAAGTTATCTTCAAAGCAGGATATTAGAGGAACAAAAATAGACACTACCACTACAGGAACAACAAACCAGGGACCAGCACAGACCAATCTCTCACTTAAGCAAGATAATGTGACAATTAAAGGTCTTCAGGCCAACGTTACTGTACCAAAGGTAACAACTTTTTGTTTATCTTATGAGAAGTCAAGTACCTCACAAATTACCCTTACTTTGCATCCCTATCAGTTCCCCAAAAGATTAAACAGAATTATTTATTTGTGCTAGGTTATCCTGTTCAAAACATTAGTTGAGTGTTTTGGGCCTGCTCAGTTTTATTATGGTAGGTGTGCAAGTTAAATAACAACCGCTATACGGATAACTGACTGCTATGTTGTTAAATTGTGTTACTACATCTTCTAGGGGTGATGGTTCTATCTTTTTTGTTTTGGTTTGGCTTGGTTTTTTTTTCGTTTTACTGAGACATATAGACAAGATTGTATCAGAAATTAGTGGTATGTACTTAATGTAACGTGTTTTTCTAAATTTCTTTACTCTTTGGGGAATTTTAAATGTAGGTGAACCTGTGTTTACTACAAGCATCTGTTGATGAATCCCCTGGAGTTTCTTCAGGGAAAACCATTACTCATGTTTCACTTGTGGCTTTGTGTTTTGATAGAATTGCTACACAAGTTCGTATGAATAGGTAAGAATAAAGCGTATCACTATTTGTGGCTCTTTCTTGATAAGGTAGTAAAAAGACTTACAGTGGTACCATTTTTTTTGAACCTTAGCGTTGGAGTTCCGAAAAGTATTGGAAAAAGTTGTCATGGCTGAGTTAAGCAATAAAATGTTTTCTGTGCTTTGTAAATTAACATCTATTATAAAATTAGAATTGCAGTTTATTTAAGAAGTGGAGGAACCCTTCTGGAATAAATTTGGAACTTCAGTTTTAACTCTTTCTTGCTTATATGTCATGCAGGATAAAATTACATTTTTCATTATTTTTCTACCAAAGCGTATGTATCTTCTGTCTTACAAAGAATTCATTTTAACACTACTGTGCCAATGTAACTTAAAATTTTAAACAAAAATAATCAAATTAGGTATATCTGTCTGAGATTTGCTGAATTTTTTCATCCTGTATATTCAAAGGGGTGTAGTTGAGGAGACTTTAAACAATGCAGAAACTGGGAGGAATTCTGTCACATTTGATCGTTACATCCAAACCAGTAAAATGCAGCCACAGTCTTCTGGCTCACTGCGATCCAATGCTGGAGCAGAAAAAGGAAAAGAAATTGCTGCTAAACTGAACATCCATCGTGTTCATGGACAACTTAGAGGCCTTGATACAACAGGTAAGCCTTTTTTTAACTTGTGGAAACATCACTTTTCATAGAAACAAGTTATTACAGTTTGTCTTGATCTTGTAATTTTGTTGGTTTTGTTTGTATGGGGTCTATTGGGTTTTGTTTGGTTTTTTTTAATCCACACAGAGAAATGTACACTTGAACCTGGAGATTTTGCAGATACTCTAAAAAATTTAGGGTAGTTACTCTGAACTCTTTTCTGTTATTCTACTAAAGTGCTAGATTTAAATGTAAGCAGAGGAAAACCTATCAAGACGAACTTCTAGGCAGTTTGTGTGGCAGATGGTTTGCATTGTAAATAGTGATACACAATGGCAAAATTTCAGGCCTGAACTCTCTTCCTCCCAGTTGATCTCTTTTCATCTGCCATTTTTTGTCACCTGATGTAGGGAATGTTTATTTGCTTTCTTACTACTTTCTAACACTTTCAAGATAGGTATAATATGGCTGGTGTG